GATTTATCAACTTCCAGTTCACATTTCCATTACTAACTGGCATCATTTGATGAAGTATTGGAAGTAGCTGTCTTCTCATCTTCCAGGGGTCGAACCTAATATCTTCAGGTTTTTCTGTTAGCAGGTAACCAGTTGAACAAACCAAGTGGTGCACGAAGATAAATGCTCAACAGTAGTGTTTTAATGAAGGTTGTGGTATATGGCGAACTAAGAGAAATAGAAAAATGTGGACTATTGTATTTTGACCCATTGTCTAAATGGTTAATGCTTTCGCCGTAAGACACAAAAGTCTTGGATTCGATTCGTGAGGAGAGGAGTGATAGGTGAGTATTGTTGAGGAGTTGAACACCAGAACGAAAAAGCTGTCAATATTTAGGACATTCATTCATGTCTGGATCAAACTGCAACGCTACGCAACATCACAAAACAGAGCATACAATGGCAGTCAACTCTCTACCTCAACTTTGTGGATTTTGAAAAGACATTCGATAGCGTCGATTAAGAAGTAATTTGCCAGCTGCTACTTCAACACTACACAGTGAGTGCCACAAACCTTTATCAACCCCATTCAACAGCAGCTATATGATGATGATGATGATGATGCCACATGCCTAATGGTCCACAATGTAAAGCTCAGTGATGCCTTTGAAGTGAAGTGAAGACACGTTGACAGATAAGACAAGGTTGCCGCCTACTATCACCGATGATCTCCCTGATTGTGGCCAACTCGACTGCACTGAACTGGATCATAGGACAAACTATGAGGAGCGAGAAGATGGGCATACGTTTTTTGATTAACGAAAAGACCCTAGGAAATTTGGATTTCGCCTATGATGATTTATATCTGATGTCTTAACGCGCAAACTCGATGATCTGCAGGCGAAAACTTACAATTTGGTGGAAGAGTCAGCGAAGGAGGACGGGACTTCCTTCAGGTAAACGTAGAGGAGACAGAGGTGATGAAGCTACCCAACCAACAACAATATGCATTAATCACCATCAACGGGAGAAACGTAAGGGAAGTAGCCTCTTTCACCTACTTAGGGGGCAGCATCATTTCAACTACAGGAGGCGGAACAGGCACAGATGAGGATGTCAAAACCAGCCAGGATCAGAAAGACAACAAGACAGGCCTTCCTTCATTAATCTCAAATAATCAGTCTGGAGATCTTCTACTGAAGACATACATCATCAGTAGCTGCCGCCTACACTCTCCCGATACTGAAGATGGAGATCCAAAGGGGAAACAACGAGTTGGACATCCGAAGGTGACATGGAGGAGATCATGTGAGAAAGAAATGAAAGCTTGTGGGCAGTCGTAATACCAGGCTGAAGAGACTGTAGAGAAGAGAGTGGAATGGAGGCGTGCTACTGAAGCCCTGTCTTCCGCTAGGAACCCAAACGACAAATAATAATAATAATAATAAACATATTTAAACATTGAATCGTGGGTACGCGACCGATATACTCTCTTTTTTGAATTTGAAATCCTTCTGGCTATCTCTGTCTAGTCTGTAATGTTCATAGTTATTGTGTTGGTGACTTCTGCGTGTTCATCACATACTAGCATGATGTCTATTGTCTTTATATTATCTACAATTGCTGAACAGTCAAGATTATCATACCTCCTTCTTGTCAGAAACTATTAGTCTCATTCATTATCATTAGTATAATAGTTATTTCAATTATTGATGTATCCAGTAAGAGTTATCCTATCGAATTTTGATGGAATTATGGGGATTTAGAAATATTTCAAGTTGTTATTCATCGTAGACTGACATCAGTTGAAGAGGAACAAAAGAAATCTAAGAGCACTGGATATCTGTTTCATCCTAGTTGCAGTTACGCTATATCATGAAATATAGACCATTAGATTCTGATCCAGTGGCTAGCTTGAATGGTAAAGTGTTGGTCATGGAACCTGACAGTCGTGGGTGTGCACTGCTGAAGAGTCGTATACTAGTCGGCTGAAACGGCAACTGTCCAATGCTTTCAGGATTTGTTTTTGTTTCTCTTCAACTGATATCAGTCTATGATGTATAACAACTTGACAGATTTTACTGTCAAAACTGATGTATCAATTAGCGAATAGTTGATATTTCATTGTTAAGCTTAATATATTATTATTATTATTACTTATATCATATAGATACTATTATTTGTTATAATTACCTCTAAATACAATTACTTTGTAAATGACCTTACATAATCAAGCTAGTTGAATGAAATTCAACGCCTGGTATATTTACACTGTTATGTAGTAAACAAAATTAGTAAGGTGTATCGTTTCAGTATTACCCGCATCAAGATAAGTCAGTAAATTTATCTAACTACCTACCTACCTACCTACCTACCTACCTACCTACCTATCTATACTCTACAGTTAATTGGTTAACTGTTTATAAACCATTGTAAAGTTGTTTTGTATAGTTGCCTCAAGTAAATTATTCACTATTGAATAATTTGATTGATAAAAATAATGATTAGAGAAAAATTTATTGGATATATTGTCGGCTATCATAAAATAGTGTGAATTATGTATGTATGATTAGCTCTGTTAGTTGGAAATTAGTTGGTAGGTGGTGATCAATCCAATTCATATGATCATTATGCATACATCAACAGGGGTATTTGTAATTAATAGCGGAAGTTATATCTCTTTCTTGTAAGAGACTGTATAAAGGTGAAGATACTGATAAGATTCATAGTCTTCTAGACACCTTGAATGGCAGTTTGAGAATGTTTGTGGTATGTTTCTCACCATCCAAATGCCAATGGTTGCTTCAGGACTGATCTTTATCGGTACCCTGAATAATAATAGAGGAGAGTGAAGTGATTGAGCCCGTTGGGAAGTCGGATCAACTCTGGTGCATTGGTTGGTGGGCGACGAAATCTCTCTACTGATTAAAAAAAGGCTCGGTTAGCTTTTGCGAACAAACGACATCTGTGGCGCTGCCACGATATTCAATTGACCATTAAGGGTCTAGTTTCCTGTGCTGCAGTCCATTCTGTTCTACTCTATGGCTATGAAAGATGACTATTCAAGGTAGAAAATATAAAGAGGCTTCAGGTGTTTGACCACCGTTGCCTTCGTAGCATAGGCCGGATTTAATGGTGTCACCACTTGAGTATCACAATGGGAAGCTCAGTGATGCTTTTGAAGTGAAGACAGGAGTGAAACAAGGTTGCCTACTATCCCCCATGATATTCCTGATTGTGGTGGACTGGATCATGCAGCAAACAGTGGGGAGCTGTGAGAAGAAGGGGATACACTGGACGGCGGAAAAGAACCTAGAAGACTTGGATTTCGCCAACGATGACTTGTGCCTGCTGTCACATAAACTTGAAGATCTGCAGGCAAAAACTAACAAGTTGACAGAAGAGACGAGGCAGCGAAGACGGGACTTCAGGTGAATATAGAGAAGACAGAGGTGATGAAGATACCCCACCAACAACAACAACAACAACAAACTCCAATCACCATCAAAGGGAGAAACTTAAAGGAAGTAACCTCCTTCACTTATCTAGGCAGCACTGTTTCAACTACAGGTGGCAGGACAGACGAGGACGTCAAAGTCAGAATCGGAAAAGCAAGACAGGTGTTCATTAGCCTGAAACCAGTGTGGAGATCTTCTGCACTCAGCATGAGGAACAAGATACGGATTTTCAACACCAACGTCAGGTCAGTGCTTCTATATGGTTCAGAGACTTGGCGCGTCACGAAAGGGATTTCCAATAAACTACAGACATTCAACAACTGCTTACGCTGACTCGCTACTGAAGGTCAGATGGCCAGAAAGAATAAGCAACAAGGAACTCTGGGAACGAACCAACCAAGAACCTATCGCTCAACAAATATTCAGGAGGAAGTGGAGATGGATTGGGCATGCACTGAGAAGGCCGACTGAGGACATCACGCGTCAGGCCAGTTGCTCTAGTGGAATCCCCATGGGAAGCGACGAGTTGGGTTTCCGAGGTGAGGGTGACATGGAGGAGGTCGTGCGAGGAGGAAATGAGAGCTTGTGGGCTGTCGTGGAACCAGGTTGAAAAGATCTCAGAGAACAGAATTCACTGGAGACGTGCTACTGAATCCCTATGTTCCACTAGGAACCCAAGGGACTAATAATAATCATAAAAAACTTGAGTAACGCAGAAGTCAGATGTAGTTTTAGGCAGGAGAGGTAAGACAGTTGATACGGTTGTGAACCTTCATCGACTGAGATGGCTGGCTGAGACATGTTACACATGCCTAGTTAATGTCTACCTCTTCTCACATTGTTAGCTGAAGTAGGTTCAGGCTGGGAAAAGACTTGGGGCGGTCAGACTGAAACATAGAATCAATGCATGAAGTCGTTGACTTTTGGCTTGAGTCATGTAGAGGGGGATGCAGACTAGCCGGTTAGGGTCCACGGGACAAGAGAAATCAGTGTCTAGAGACTGACTCTAGGTGACGATAAGGCTCAGAATCGATGTCCATGGGATGTGTTAACCGCTATACTTAATCTCATCATCGCCTCATTCATTCGATGGTATGAGGTGAGATGTGGCAAGCCAGACTGTTATCTAGTAATGACTGATCCTATGTTGATCTTGATCATGACGTCAATCAAATGATATTGAACAGACAGAGTTGAAGTGTTTCTCATCTTGTTGTGATCTTCGTTTTTTTTTTCAGTTATTCAGTTTGAAGGTTTGTAAAGATCTATTGATTGATTTCAAGTTGGAGAAGCATTGAAAATCAGGAGGCAATGAATAAATTTCTCATTCTGTTATGTGACTTCTCAGCAGTGCACACACTTAACCCTAACCCTCCAGAGAAGTATGTTTCTTCTTGAAGTGCCTATGAAGGAAAGTTTAGTACTTGACTAATCATATACAACCGTTATTTACGCAAACGATTTGTGCATGCTTACTTAATACTATGGTAACATTAAATCAAATTGATACACTTTTACTACTACTCTATACTTTTAAGCGTCTGTTTCTTTTCTCTCGAATAGATATCAGATTTTTATACAAGTTCGAAATGATTTAATCAATGGTAGAATGCAAGTTGATGAAAACTTATTTGTAACATTATGTGGATTGATTCTGCAATGTAAGTTATTTGTATATTCATAATCTCTTCTTTTCTAATACATAAATATAAATCTTAAGAGATGGCTGGTAACCCAGAGATCTTTTGTTCGAGTCATTCCGTTACAGAAATTTTCACTTTATCAGTTATTATTATTTATTATTTGTCCCTTGGGTTCCTAATGGAACATAGGGCTTCAGTGCCACCTCTCCAGCGCACTCTCTTCTCTGCAATCTTTTGAACCTGGCTCCACGGCTCTTCTCGATGTCACCCTCACGTCGGACGCTCAACTTGTCGCTTCTTATCTGGGTTCCACTCGAGCAACTGGCCTGACGTGTGATGTCCCCAGTTAGCCTTCTCAGTGTATGCACAATTCATCTACACTTCCTTCCAGTGTATATTTGTTCAGTGATAAGTTCTTGCTCCGTTGGTTCGTTGCCAGCCAGCCAGAGTTCCTTGCTGGTTATTCTTTCTAGCAATCCATCTGATTTTCAGTGTTGAGCCAGCGTAGGCAGTTGTTGATGAATGTCTGCAGTTTGTTGGAAATGTCTTTTATAACGCGCCAAGTCTCTCAACCATGACATGGAAGCACTGACTTGACTGAATTGGTGTTGAAAATGCGGATGTTATTCACGCTTTATGCTGAGTGTAGATCTCAACACTGGTTTCAGGTTTATGAAGGAAGGTCTGTCTTGCTGTGTTTCCGATCCTGGCTGGCTTTGACGTCCTCGTCTGTGCCGCTGCCTGTAGTTGGATCAGGGCTTCCTAGATAGGTGAAACATGCTACTTCCTTTAAGTTTCTCCCGTTGATGGTGATTGGAGTTTGTTGTTGTTGGTGGTGGGGTATCTTCATCACCTCTGTCTTCTCTACATTCACTTGAAGTCCCATCTTCGCTGCCTCTTCTTTCAGCTTGTTAGTTTTCGCGTGTAGATCTTCTAGTTTGTGTGACATCAGACACAAGTCATCACTGGTGAAATCCAAATCTTCTAGGATAATCCCAACTGTATTTCATATGAAAATCAATGATAGGATAGTCTTATCCACCTTCGATTTCATTCAATATGCTGTTGATCTAGCAGTTCCCATACCTTACCTGTCTCCTCTTCAACAGATTTTTCCCAACTGAATGATTTCCTATCTATTGTTAGAAGATGGTCCTCTATGAATAGTCTTATCCTTAATTCTTCAAAATGTTGGACTATAAACTTTAGTTTTACATATAAACATGACCTCTTGTACAGAATGTGTACAAAATTGTTGAGTGGATTTCTGTTTAATTCAACTTAGTTTGATTGTGTATTCCAACGCTATCTTGGCTTCTACAATCTCGGCAATTCGATAGTATGATAAACCCTTACTATGCTACTATAGTCAGGTAAATATCAAAATGCATCAGGTTGATTTACAGTTGGTCTCGTGTGTTTGAAGCCTCCTTCACTTGTGGAGGTTTGGTTAGCCAGATATAATCGTACATAGCCTTCAAATGTGGATTGTCCATCATTGGTTAGTGGACAAACCTGTAAGGCATGTATCAGTGTAGAAGAAGTAGCACCTCTCTATTCAACCACTTCATTATCTTAAGCTGTACAGTCGTATTTATACTCGGTAAAGTGACAGATAGTTACACTAAGAAGAGTTGCTCTATCAATATGAAAAATATGCACAAAAGGTGTAGGTGATGGTGGAGACACATGTTGTCTAAGAATTGTGAAACGGTGACAGTTTAATTGAAATATACAAAATAAGTCAATAGATCGCTGGTTCGAACCCAGTCGCGGTTCAGATTTTCATCTCACCTTCAATCATCACCCAGTATAAATACTAGTCTCCTAAACTATGGCTGTTATCTCCGATAGTCAAATCATAATCAATTGATACTAAATAGTGAACTATGGGTCAAATGTTGTCAATGAAGTGAAAATTGGTGGTGATGATAATCATAATAATAAGAGAGAAGTATACCAAAGTGAAGTGAAGTGAAAGTGACAAAAGTAACCAACAAGGGAATTGTTAAGACCAAGGTGGAGAGTGTGGTTCCACAAAACGTTTTTGAATGTAAAGTTGGTGAATCAGATGGGGCTGGAGAATGTCAGCATCAGTCTAGCAGCATAAAAGTTACTATTGATACACTTTGACAGGCGACTTTTCAGCGCTTCAGCTGTGGTGTCTCCTTTGAATTCCAAATTCATGGGATGAGAAGTGATTTGTTTCTTCAGATTTTTATCAATAAATCTTTTAGGGTCACTTTTATTCGATAGTATTATCCTAAAAGTTTTGATTTCAACATCCATCGTATCTTCTGAACATATTAACTCATGTAAACACCTAGAAGGAGTTATATTAACATATGACAAGCATTGTCTTCAGTCAAAGTTGTCTGTGTATCGGTCATTTGGAAAGACGAGGAGCAAGTACATACGGTTTTATGCACGTACTACAACATATAAAAACTCTACAATACGCTACGTGTTCTGCTCTGTGCTCTGTTCTACTGTATGGCTATGAAACATGGCCATTGAAAGTGGAGGATACAAAAGGGCTTCAGGTGTTTGACCACCGTTGCCTTCGTAGTATAGGACGTATTCCGTGGTATCACCACACCACGTGAGTAATGCAGAAGTTAGGTGTAGAGTTTTGGGGAGAAGAGGTAAGTCAGTTGACGAGGTTGTGAACCTTCATCGACTGAGATGGTTGACCGTGACACGTACTACGTATGCCTAGTCACCGATTGCCTCGTCACACAATGTTGGCTGAGGTGGGTCCAGGCTGGAAAAAGGCCCGAAGTGGCCAGACTAAAACATGGCACCAATGTATGAAGTCTCTGACTGTTGGTTTAAGCCATGTGGGGCAATGTAGACTAAATGGTTGGGGTCCACGGGACAACAGGAACGAGTGGTTGGAGACCGACTCTAGGTGATGACATGGCTGAGAACCGATGTCAGTGGAGCAGATGTATACACACATTATCCTCATCTTAACAACGCTATACCGAATCTCACCATTTTGTCACTCCTCTTTCCTTTCTTCTCATACTTTATATTTCTTTTGACTGCATTCACTTATCTTCATCCTTCACCTCACTACCTTTTTACTTGATGTGCTGATATGAGGTGTGGCAAGTTGGACTGTTAAGCAGTAATGCCTGGTCCTATGTTGATAATGATGATGATGATGATGAATAGTAATGAACTATCAATAATCATGTTTCGTTTTTGAAAGCAAACTAACTGAAAATGAGCATGTTACTTTTTACTTATTATGAAATTGTGGAGAATATTTGTACCCCAGATGGATGATCTTGGTTGTATTGTGTTCTCTCAGCTGACTTGTTTAATCATGATTATCCATCTCATTCGACAGTTCATCGGTGGTCTATATCTGACACTTTTCGGCAGAACATGCTGACGTAGGCAATCATGGAGAAAAAAAATAGTTATTCTTTTGTGAAAGCTTACCTCGTGGAGAAGTTCTCCTATCTTCGAACAATGTGAAGAATGTTATGCTCGTGTAATTTTGAAATAGTGGAGAATATTTGTAACTCAGGTGATTGTACTGTGTTGTCTGAGTTGGGTTGTTGAATCGTATTATGAATCTAACTGCTAATGTGATTGTCTACCTAAATTGACTGAACATTTTGAAGAAAGTTGTACATGGAGTGAATATTCTTATCTTTTTCTTCATGGTAATTTCTATTCATGTTCTCTTCTCTATGTATACATATACACTGTCTCTATCCAACTGATGCTATATATGAAATGCTGAAAATCCTGTAGAGTATTCTCGAAATAGCTTTCAGAATAAAGTCATTATTATTATTGTTATAGAACTGTTTTTCAAGCTTCAGTCTACGCTTGATTTTCTGTTTCTTCACTGATGGAAAGTGAAGAAAAGAACATCTCTTTTAGAATAGTCAATAATCTTTTTTTTTGTTTCAATGCAATAAAGTATTTGATTCAACTCTCTTCTTTTTTTTTACTCCTACCTATTACTGATTAGCTGATTGTGGTGATTATGGTGCTGATCGATTGGGACCAAATTATGTCAAGCAGTTGTTGAAACTTCCTAATTTGAATGATCAATTAGAGAAAAGAATCAAGGCTAAACATGAAGAATGCAGGTGAGTATGTTGTTGTTAACCTTTTTGTGTAAAATAGTGTAAGACACGAAATTATTGCTCGCTTATACATACCCGGGGGGACAGATGGATAGATGAAGAGGGTTGACGACTGAAAATTTAGTGGACAGTAGATCAGACTCATATATTGCATCAATCTTCATCTTTACCATAATTAATGTTATGCACTGAAGGTGTAGAAAAACACTTTTGCTGTTCAGTTTGCATAACTCCTTCAAACTATTGATTTATACACGTTTTCTAACTAATTTTTTCATTCATAATTCCCATTGTGACATCATAAACAAGATATTCAGCGAAGAAGACTCTTTTCAATCAATTCATTCTTAACCTGAACATATATATATATATATATATATATATATATATATATATATATAATTTGTCTTTTGGGTTCCCAATGGAACATAGGGCTTCAATAGCACGTCTCCATTCCACTCTCTTCTCTGAAATCTTTTGAACCTGGCTCCACGACAGCGCACAAGCTCTCATTTCTTCCTCCCATGATCTCCTTCATGTCACCCTCATGTCGGACGCCCAACTTATCGTTTCCCTTTCGCATTCCACTTGAGTGCCTGGCCTGGCTCGTGATGTCCCTAATCGGCCTTCTCAGTGTATGCCCAATCCAATCCATCCCCACTTCCTTCCAGTGCATATTTGTTACGTGATAAGTTCTTGCTCCATTGGTTCGTTGCTGGCCAACCAGCCAGAGTTCCTTGTTGCTTATTCTTTCTCGCCATCTTATCTGACCTTCAGTGTCGAACTAGCGTAGACAGCAGCTGTTGATGAATGTGTGTAGTTTGTTGTAAATGCTTTTTGTGTTACGTCAAGTTTCTGAACCATATAGCAGCACTGACGGATTTCACTGAATCGGTTTTGAAAATCTGGATTTTGTTCACGCTTTGTGCTGAGTGCAATGCAGTGGATCTCCACACTGATTTCAGATTGGTGAAAACCTGTCTTGCTTATCCGATCCTGGTTTTGACATCCTCGTTTGTGCCACCACTACCTGTAGTTGGAACGATGCTGTCATGTAGGTAGATTAGATATGTGAAAGAGATTACTTCCTTTAAGTTTTCCCCATTACTGGTGAATGGTGCTTGTTGTTGTTGGTGTTGGTTGGGTATCTTCATCACCTCTGTCTTCTCTACATTCACTTGAAGTTGTGTTTTCTCTGCCTTGTCTGTTCTGTCAACTTGTTAGTTTTCACTTGTAGATCTTCGAGTTTGTGAGACATTAGATGACATAAATCATCATTGGCGAAATCCAAATGTTGTAGGATGTTTTCATTGGTCAAACAGCATATGCCCATTTTCTTGCTGGTGATAGTTTGTTGCATGATGCAGTCGACGACAATGAGGAATATCATGGATGATAGTAGGTGGTAGCCTTGTCTTACTCTTGTCTTTACTTCAAAGACATCACTAAGCTTCCCATTGTGAACCAAGATTACTTAAGTAATATCTTTGTCATAGATTACAGTCTTTAAATATCATATATGTGTATATACGAGTGTATAGTTTATGAATAAACTTGTTGAAAGCAGTCCTTGTTTTTAATCTGGTTATGTCATATTCATCTTGTTGACTGGTAGAAGAAATCAAGGTTATACGTTTCATATTATTTGGCAGCTCATAAGCTGAATGTACCTACATTTGTTGGAGAGATTTTATTGTTGGGAACAACTTTAGTCAGTGGTTGAAACTCTTATTTGTACTACTGACTACATCTTTGTTGGAAAACAACTACTACTGAACAATGTTTTAAGGTGTAATTGTTTTACTAACTGTTATTATTGTTCAGTATAGTCCACCTGAGTACTACCTTCTGTTGTCATTAAGTGAAACCGTGGAATATTATTTTTAACTTGATCCTCGTCAGACTTTATTCTAATATAAACATCTAAACTCACACACACACACACACAAAATGCAACTAATCATGTGAATTTCTTGGTGAATGATGAAATTTTTTTCAATATACCGACAATATATAGATGATAAAAGAAATTCTTATAGTGTGCAATATGATTGGTTAGATCCTCATTAGGAATTCTGAAATCCCTAAAGTTTTTCACAACCAATCTTATTACTGCGAGGTTTCGAGGAAAAATAACAACATAAATCTACGCGTTAATATTAGATTGGTTGAAGAGGTAAAGTCAATAAAGTATATCCTTCTAGAAAAGCTTAAGATTGGTCAAGGTCATTGGAGAGATAATATAAACCATTATATTTTGTACCTAGTTTGGCAGGACAATGCACATTCTATTATCTGGTCACCTTTCTATTTACCAAGGAACTGTGTAACTATCACAGTTGAATAAAATCTGAAGCCTATTGTTCAAGTCTACAGCGTTATATATTTAGAGAGGGATATGTCATAAGTAATCATATTAGCAGTCATAGTAACAGTGTGTTAACCAACCCATTCATAAGTAACACAGATAATATTGATAACAACAAGAATGAGGTAAATAGTCTGTGAATGTTGGCACTGCAATAATCAAAGTAGGTCAAATGTTGACTTAGAAACGTCAAAGTTGCGCAATACTAAAAGAGAAATTGCTTACAACTCCTTAGGGTATATAATTCTGTATGTTAGGTTAATTGGGATATTTTGTGTAAGGTAACAGTCATCAATCACGAAGTGACATCTGTAAGAGAATCGTTGAAGACTTAAGAGGACTAGAAAACCAATTCATCCTAATATACGACTCGTCGAAAGCACGCACCTATCGTCCAGTTTCCAACTTCTATCAATTCTCTCGTGATATGGCGTGATTATCCATCAAGGTGTTCATTTGACGTCTGTTTCATTTCCGTCTAGTTGATCCAACAGCTCATTCTCAAGACGGACAGAAATAGTCGTAGAGTGAAGGTTATTTATAACGACAAATTTGACGAAGGCCAGTAAATAGTAACAAACCATCACAATCACACATTATTGTTATTATTATTGTTTGTCCCTTGGGTTGCTAGTGGAACATTGGGGTTCAGTAGCACGTCGCCATTTCACTTTCTTCTCTACAGTCTTTGAACCTACCTCCATGACTTCCAATAAACTTCTATTTCTTCCTCACACGGTCTCCTCCATGTCACCCGCAGCTGGGACGCTCAACTCGTCGTTTCTCATTCAGTTTCCACTCGACGACCGGGCCTGACGTGTGATGTCCACAAATGGTTTTCTCAGTGTATGTCCAATCCATTTCCACTTTCTTCTTCTTCATATATGTTATTCGATGGGTTCTTGCTTCGTTGCCGGGCCAGAGTTCCTCCTTGCTTATTCTCATTATTCTGGTAACCCATCTGATCTCCATCTTCAGTATCGGGAGAGCGTAGGCGGCAGCTAGTGATGATGTATGTCTTCAGTTTGTTGGAAATGCCTTTCATGACGCGCCAACTCTCTCAACCATCACATAGAAGCACTGACTTACTTGACTGACATTAGTAGTGTTGAAAATCCGGATCTTATTCACGTTCTATGCTGAGTGCAGTGAAGTGGAATGAAGTAGATCTCCATACTGATTACTTGAGATTAATGAAGGAAGGCCTGTCTTGTTGTCTTTTTGATCCTGTCTGGTTTTGACATCCTCATCTGTGCCTGTTCCGCCTACTGTAGTTGAAATGATGCTGCCCCCTAAGTAGGTGAAAGAGGCTACTTCCTTCAGATTTCTTCCGTTGATGATGATTGGTGCATATTGTTGTTGGTTGGGTATCTTCATCATCTCTATCATCTTTACATACACATGCAAACATACAAATTATACAGTAAATAAGGGAAATATAGTGAGTAAAGCTCAGTTACTCAAACAGATTTAGAAATGACCGAAATATGACGTAACCAAATAAAAGTGAAGGAACCATCTGCCAAGATTGGTGAAGGATGACGTAACCGAATAATAGTCAAAAAGGGTTATCATGCTAGACAGACGACTATTAAGCTTTCCTTTGTTAAAGATGCGAGGAATATAAGATAGACAAAGTTCTTTTGAACACAAAGACCATAGTTTCTACTATATTGTAAAAGATGAGTTCATATACCTTTTGAAGAGTTAGGAACATGTCGGTTAAGTTGCCTAGGGACACGTTATTATTTCTGTTATGACCACTATTGTTTTTAAATTGGAAAAAAAATCTATGTGGTTGGTTTATTTTTGTACATATTTATTACTCTAATTATACTGAAGTCTCAAAAGCATCTAACTGGAAGCATTGTTGTTCGCTTACAGATTGTCTTGACTGTATTGTATTCTGTAAGGAGCTATCATCGGCTATCTAGACAGCGATATCATCAACACGGAACTCAGTATGAAGTGAGCTGTCAATATCTCTCTGTGAGTGATTCACCACCTTGTGGTGACCAACTGTTTTGTATGTGATTGGTTGTTTCCTTTGATTGTTGTGTCATTGACTGGCTGCATAGATTTCTTGTTGACTGTTCCCCTGCTTTACCTCTGACCTTTCTGTCGATTATCACTTTTCTCACTGAGTGATAGATTGGGTCTATGTCTATATATCTGTGATTGCTGGCTGACTGACTGACTGACATGAATGCCAAACTTCTAGGAATTCTCTGACACTTTGTGTTATAATTGAGTTGATGTCCATAATTATCTACTTGGTGTCAGTGATGGCGTTTAATAGGCAATATAGAAAAGACTCACAGTTTGATCGACGTTTTCAATGACATCAAATTCACAGTGGAGAAGGAGTCAAACAACCAACTACCATTCCTGGATGTCCTAGTCAGTAGAACAAATGCCAGAAAACCGGCAACCCAAGTGTACAGGAAACCAATTGATCAAATCCTCAACTACAATAGCAGTAACCTGACAACACAAAATTAGTTGCGTACAGCCTCTTGTTAGAAGAGTGAGAACATACTGCGGTACAACAACATAGAGAAACGAAGAAAAATACTTGATATGCACCCTAAAGAAGAACGGCCACCCACTTGGTGGGATTGATGTGGCTCATAAACCAACAAATTCCCTCCGAAACCGAAAAAGACAGACTGAATATCATTTACAAAATCAACTGCAATACCTTTAGTCAACATTACATTGGACAAAGTGACCGCCCTCTTCGCCTTCGTCTATATGAACACCAATTGGCTACTAAACGTCGCGACATTTCATCATTCATTTCAATGCACGTGGATAACAACTATGAACATGAAATCAATGTTGACAATGTAGAAATCTTGAACGGAGTGAAGAGACACGAAGAATATCATCAGAGAATTCCTAGAAGTTTGGCATTCATGTCAGTCAGTCAGTCAGCCAGCAATCAACAGATATATAGACATAGACCCAATCTATCACTCAGTGAGAAAAGTGATAATCGACAGAAAGGTCAGAGGTAAAGCAGGGGAACAGTCAACAAGAAAATCTATGCAGCCAGTCAATGACACAACAATCAAAGGAAACAACCAATCACATACAAAACAGTTGGTCACCACAAGGTGGTGAATCACTCACAGAGAGATATTGACAGCTCACTTCATACTGAGTTTCGTGGTGATGATATCGCTGTCTAGATAGCCGATGAAAGTCCCATGACTAAACAGCCAGCTCTTCAGAAAACAGAATACAGCCAAGGCCATCCACCTAAGCTACAAATATTCCCCATCATTTCAAAATCATGCGAGAGTAACACGCTTACATACCATGTTATGTTGTGTGTACCGACTGATTTCGGTATATTCATCTATCATTTTCTTTGAATTATTATCATTTGTTGTCTCTGTCTTTTTTTCGTTCTCCTTTTTCGTAGGTGTCGTCAACCAGCTTTAGTGGAATATCAACTTCTCGATAAGGTTAAACAACTTCCAACTTATGGTCAAATAAAATTTCATATTAAAGTAAGCGATAGCAAGAAGAACCTCCTCTTTCTCCTAATTATAGTAGGAAAAAAAATCTTATTTCTCACATTATCACCTTTCCATTGAAATAAACGTCGGTGTAGTTTCTAGATGATTAATTCTCGTATCACTAAGTTATGCATTGGTGTTGACTTCATTTTGCCTTTCATGTGATATCTTTCTAACAGTGAAAACCAAAAAAGGAATAAATTTAGTTATAAATGTCTTGACTACTTAATTGATGAAAAAGTAGTTAAATTTTTTATCTACAATAAAGATGAATTGCTCAAAATATTACCAAAATTGAAAATTTATTGGTAAAATCTTCATTGATATAAAAGTGTTTCAGTAGAGAAAAAACACTAAGAGAAGTACATTTCTAACACTCAGCCAGTGAATCGTATAGGTATTATTATTTTTCCTTTGGGTTCCCAATGGAACATAGGGCTTCACTAGCACGCTTCCATTTCACCCTGTTCTCTGCAGTTTTTTTAACTTCGCTCCACGACTGCCCATAAGCTTTCATTTCTTCCTCACATGATCTTCTTCATGTCACCCTCATGTCGGACGCCCAACTTATCGTTTCCCTTTCGCATTCCACTTGAGTGCCTGGCCTGGCTCGTGATGTCCCCAATCGGCCTTCTCAGTGTATGCCCAATCCAATCCATCCCCACTTCCTTCCAGTGCATATTTGTTACGTGATAAGTTCTTGCTCCATTGGTTCGTTGCTGGCCAACCAGCCAGAGTTCCTTGTTGCTTATTCTTTCTCGCCATCTTATCTGACCTTCAGTGTCGAACTAGCGTAGACAGCAGCTGTTGATGAATGTGTGTAGTTTGTTGTAAATGCTTTTTGTGTTACGTCAAGTTTCTGAACCATATAGCAGCACTGACGGATTTCACTGAATCGGTTTTGAAAATCTGGATTTTGTTCACGCTTTGTGCTGAGTGCAATGCAGTGGATCTCCACACTGATTTCAGATTGGTGAAAACCTGTCTTGCTTATCCGATCCTGGTTTTGACATCCTCGTTTGTGCCATCACTACCTGTAGTTGGAACGATGCTGTCATGTAGGTAGATTAGATAGGTGAAAGAGATTACTTCCTTTAAATTTCCCCTATTACTGGTGAATGGTGCTTGTTGTTGTTGGTGTTGGTTGGGTATCTTCATCACCTCTGTCTTCTCTACATTCACTTGAAGTTGTGTTTTCTCTGCCTTGTCTGTTCTGTCAACTTGTTAGTTTTCACTTGTAGATCTTCGAGTTTGTGAGACATTAGATGACATAAATCATCATTGGCGAAATCCAAATGTTGTAGGATGTTTTCATTGGTCAAACAGCATATGCCCATTTTCTTGCTGGTGATAGTTTGTTGCGTGATGCAGTCGACGACAATGAGGAATATCATGGATGATAGTAGGTGGTAGCCTTGTCTTACTCTTGTCTTTACTTCAAAGGCATCACTGAGATTTTCATTATGGATCACTTGTCATGTGGCCTTTTCATATAGCTTTTGAATGAGGTTGATCACTGATCACATATTATCTCATATTGTGAGCAGAGACGAAACTTATGAGAAGCTTACTTCACAAGTGAATTAAAATCATATTTGACCATTTCATTGCGATCAGTATCTTGTCTGGTTCAAGCTACTAACCTAAGTCTATTGTTTAGATCAGTGGTTAGTTAAATTCAAAGTTTGTGACGATATGTTAGTTTCATGTTAGTATTTATTATGGACTGATATCATTTAGAGAAGTATTGAAAACCTTAAAGTACTAGACAGCTGTTATATCCTAATGTAAGGCTCTTCAGTAGTGTACATACATGATCCGATCTGTGCAGTACCAAGTCCAGGACATTTGAGTTTCGCATGGCGAGCAGGTTACCATTGAGCCATTGAGTAATCTGAAGAATTATTTATGCGAAAAAAAACACTGGAAAAAAGACCTTCAAGGGATTTGAAGATAATAAATAGTTTTTTTTAATTAAAGACTTTAATGTTTATCTAAGTCGTATATTTTTTCCTGGTTTATTGCCTGCCTATATGTGCCTACTTCATAGTTTGTATATTGAATGAATATGGCAGTCCTAGGTTTAACTATTTCTTGAAGTAGTGAATGAATCGTATACTAGAACAAAATAATTTTTCAGTTCCTTTAGTTTTTTTCAATGTTTCTCTAAATAAATTTATCCCTTAGGTTCCTAGTGGAACATAGGGCTTTAGTAGCACGCCTCCATTGCACCCTCTTCTCTACAGTCACTGAACCTATCTCCACAACTACCCATAAGCTTTCATTTATTCCTCACACGATCTCCTCCATGTCACCTTCAGCTGGGACGCCCAACTCGTCGTTTCTCATTCAATTTCCACTCGACAACCTAGCCTGACGTGTGATGTTCACAAATGGTCTTCTCAGTGTATGTCCAATCCATCTCCACTTCCTTCCAGTGCATATTAGTTCAGAGATAGCTTCTTGGTTGGTTCGTTGCCAAAATGAATTCCTTGGTGCTTATCCTTTATGGTCATCTGATCTCCATGTTCACTATCGAGTGATTATAGGCAGCAGTTGTTGGTCACGTAGGTCTGCAGTTTGTTGACATTCTTTTTTCGTGATGTGCCAACTCTTTCAACCATCATATAGAAACACTGACTTACTCGACTGACATTGGTAGTGTTGAAAATCTGGATCTGGTTCATATTCTATGCTGAATGCAGTGCAGTGCAATGGAATGCGGTGGAGTGGAGTGAAGTAGATGTCCATACTGATTATTTGAAATTAATGAAGGAAGTCGTGTCTTGTTGTCTTTTTGATCCTGGCTGTCTTTGGCATTGTCATTTGTACATGTTCCGCCTCCTGTAGTTGAAATGATGCTGCCTCCTAGGCAGATGAAAAAAAAACACACTTTTTTTTCTATGTTAGCTTTTCATGATGTATTCTTCTTATTCTTTTCCTCAACAGGAAACGATATCTAATACACCAGGCCTATTGTGTTTAGGACCAACTGGTGTTATTATTGAAGATTCACGGAGAAATTTAATTCAGTTCTCATGGTTAGTTATAGTTATGTTTATAAGATTGTTATTTCTATGTAAATTGTTTTCTTTGTTCTCATTTACATGTTATATACTTTCTGAAATAATTACAAGGTTTTATAGATGAATGTAAGGTCGATTATTGTTTAATATGCTCTAGGTGTTTTATCATATAACACTAGATGGATAGGATTACATCAGTACTCATAACTAGAAAACATGAAGTTGGTTAAGTTCTAGTGACTATTCAATGGAAATTAGATTCATACTAGCTGATTGTATGATGTTCACATTAACCCTGTTATTATTATTAGTATTATTTATTTACCCCTTGGGTTCCTCAGTGGAACATAAGGCTTCACTAGAACGTCTCCAATGCACTCTGTTCTCTGCAGTCTTTTGAACCTAGCTACATGACTGCCCAGAAGCTCTCATTTCTTCCTCACATGATCTCCTCCATGTCACCTACAAATACTCAGTTCTTCCTTTCATTCTACATCCTTGCACTGGTTTATCTTCTGCTTCAACATCCTCCTCTCCCTACTCTATCAGCTTCCATGTGTCCGTCGAGATCCATTTCCTATCTTCTTTCTTCTTCCTTCCTAATACGGTTAGGCAGGTTTCTTTCCACATAGCTTTCAAAGAGTTCTAATGCTCATCAATACAGGTTTCTTCAGGGATGTTGCTCGATATCTCCCATTTTGTCTTGATGGCTGACTTGAAGATGTGCTTTGTAGTTTCGTCCTTCAGTTTCTGTTCTGAGTGTTGAACTTGAACTGTGGTGTATCACCAACTTCCTTGAAGTCTTTCAACTTGATTTTGAAGTTAGGTTCCTTGCACTAGACAGTGAGTGGTGTGAACCTACATCTGCTCCTCTTCTTGACCTTGTGTTAAGTAGACTGCGTCTCCATTTTCTTGAGATTGAGATAAAGTTGATTTGATTTTTAGTGTGTGTCTGGTGAAGTCTATGTCACTTTGTGAATATCCTTGTGCTTGAACATAGTGCTTCCAATCACCAAATCATTGAATGCGCAGATAACAATTCTCCATTCTCATTCACATTAACCCTAGTAGTGATAGTCTTTTCATGATTTAACTTCATTCAAGGAGTAAAATAACCAGATAGTTGGTCAAATAGAAGTTTTATTTCGTATACAAGTGACACAGTTCAAGTTACCACACTTGAAAGTAGCACACAAAATGGAACTGGTTAAAAAAAAATGATGATATTGAAGTAGAGAGAAGTGTTTGTGTGTACATCATCAGAAGTCTCTAACCACCATTTCGTGTCACCATGAGGATTTCAGTCACATCCTGAAACTTCCCATCTAATTACAATTAGCAATATAAGATTTTATCAAGTATTACGATATCTTGGTTTGTTTTCACCAAACATGAGTCTTTTATACTAAAGAAGTCTGGAGTACTTGAGTGACGCTTAAAATGACCTTGAAACGACCAACTGGAAGCAGATGAATTGTTCGTCAGTATTTAAGAAGATGGTTGGAGGCGATCGTCAGGAAGCCTTGCCTCACCTAGGTTTCGTGCTTTCCGGTACTCGTCGGCAAGGCGTATCTGCAACCTCGACGAAACTGATGTCCCTCCCACCCGAGATTCGAACCTGCATCACCCAGTGTTGTAGTCAGCGACTTTACCACTGAGCTATTCAGGCCACGTCTGACCTCCTGTAAGACTGGCTTATATGTATTGATTGGACACGGGAGTGGAACCAATTTCATGTTGTCTAGTCCCGAGTGCAGAACAAATTCTATCGATCATGTTTGCAATGTGGCAACCAACCTAGGAAGCTCAGCATCGTGGTGCACATTAGTAGTTGTTAATTGGTTGAAGGCAATCGGCAGGAAGCCCTGGACCTAGGTCCAGGTCCACATGTAAGTCTCTAACCAACTAACATCTACTAATGTTCACTGCGATGCTGAGCTTCCTAGCTTGGTTGCCACATTGCAAATATGATTGATAGAATTCAGTCTACACTCAGGACTAGACAAGATGTAAATGGTTACACTCCCGTGACCAATCAATACAGTTTTGTAATGTACTTTACCCATAATATAATATGAGATTTAGGAGTAAGCTTTGAATATCTCCTCAATAATGTAAGAGCAGTAATCACCAATATGATATCAAAGTTTACTAATTAATTGAATTTTTGGAGTTTGTGGGGGTTTAGAGATTTTCCCAGCTGCTATTCATCATGGACTGATATCAACTGGAGGAAGACTAGAAACCTGGGAGCACTGAACGGCAGGCATTTTGTCTTAGTATGAGACTCTTCAGTAGTGTGCACCCACCACCCCACCAGGGATCGAACCCGCGACCTTCAGGTTCCGTGGCCAGCCACTGGGTCGAAATCTATTGGTCCACATTTCCAACTTCTGTCCTTTTACGACCGCCATTCAATGTCATTATTGAGTATTTATCCTCACGGCCACCAGATTTGCTCCAGTGGTCACAACGTTTCATCGGAACTTCAGGAATCACCTCTCGAAGCTAGTCAATAATGAATTGGAGAGTTTGTGGGGATTTAGAGATTTTTCCAGTTGGTATTCATCATCGACTGACATCAGTTGGAAGAACATTGGTACGCACTGTTGAAGAGTCCTATACCAGGACGAAACAGCTGCTTTCCAATGCTCCTATGTTTCTAATGTTCTTCCAGCTGATATCAGTCCATGATGAATACTAAGTGTAAGAATCACTAATTAATACCCAGTAATTGGAACCAAGCATTAAAGTTATGAAATTAAGTCATGGGAATTCTCTATTGTTTTTATTCAAATTTAAGAGTCAACGCATGATATTTATGGTGTGTATATTAGTGCTAAGTTGTAACCTGATGTGACCTGTTCATTCCACATTTCTTCGACTTTGGGATATCGTAAACGCTTGAAGAAGTATACACAACTAACAAATAGCTAATAATGCTCATTTACACTGTTGTTCATTGCAATTTTGATCTCATATTTCTTTTTCTACACGAAGTCAATCGTGGTACGAACAGATCATAAAATGGTGTAAAGTCTTTGACTAAGATATTGGGTGACACTGATTCGATCCTCAGTTATCAGTTCTATTAAGGTTACAGATGCGCCTTGTTTACATGTGTCAACAATAAGGAAATTTAGCTCAAGAATGAGCTTCCTGTTAACTCTTACCTCCATCCATCTGACACTATACTATCTAGATTCAATATAGTACCTATGAATTAAATCACCAGTGAATTGTTTGAATAATGAAGGAAGAAAAACAAAACGAAATGATATAAACCCAGATCAGAGTTTAAGTTAATACTAAGGAACTGTTCGTACTCAGTTGAATGATTGGAATCGGTTAAATGTTCAATGGATAGACACCTTCTACTGCATTTCCTTACAACTTTATAAAATTAGATTGGAATATACTTTTGTATATATGTCACCAGCAATCTCTGACTACGGTCGATTTACCCTGCTCCATAGCAACATATGCCTGAAACCAGTGTGGAGATCTTCTGCACTCAGCATGCGGAACAAGATACAGATGTTCAACACCAGCGTCAAGTCAGTGCTTCTGTATGGCTCAGAGACTTGGCGCGTCACGAAAGGGATTTCCAATAAACTACAGACATTCATCAACAACTGCTTACGCTCGCTACTGAGGATCAGATGGCCGGAAAGAATAAGCAACAAGGAACTCTGGGAACGAACCAACCAAGAACCTACCACGCAACAAATATGCAGGAAGAAGTGGAGATGGATTGGCCATGCACTGAGAAGGCCGACTGAGGACATCACGCGTCAGGCCAGTTGCTCTAGTGGAATCCCCATGGGAAGCGACGAGTTGGGTGTCCGAGGTGAGGGTGACATGGAGGAGGTCGTACGAGGAGGAAATGAGAGCTTGTGGGCTGTCGTGGAATCAGGTTCAAAAGATCTCAGAGAACAGAATTCACTGGAGACGTGCTACTGAATCCCTATGTTCCACTAGGAACCCAAGGGACTAATAATAATAATAATATAGTATAGCAACATATGATTGGGTAAATACAGAGAAGAATTCATAGGCTAGTAAACATCAGAATATCTTCTGCTATATCACCTTCAAAATTTTAAATTAGTGAAGAAATTCCTTTAAAAGATTAAGTTGACGACTGGCTTCGAATGCCTTTCTCATATATTTTCACCAACAAATTGTCTAACATAATCCTTTTCCATATCCATACTTCTTTAAAAGTCAAGTTCAACTTGTAGACAATCTAGACGGTAGTATCTAAACCACCATCTATCCTTCGTTTTATTCTATAATCCAATATAGGTAATTCTTCTTGTTCATTTTCTACCTCCTCGTAAGTGAATTGGATTGCGTTAACTACTGAGTTTATGTATATCAAGAAACTGTCGATATATGTTCCGATTTCAACACTGTAAATGGAGAATTACCTATGTTGGATTGTAGAATAAAACGAAGGACAGACGTCGGTGGTTTAGATACTACCGTCTACGGAAAACCAACACATTCTAACAGATATCTAGACTTCAAGTCATCTCATCCAGTGTCAGTTAAAGCGGGTTTAGTCAAATGTCTAAATAACACAGAGCTGAGAAACTCACTAGTCATTGTAAGGACTTAAATAAGGAATTGAAACACATAAAAGAAGCGTTAACAACTAATAATTATCCCCATCATTTTATTAAGAAATTCACACAAACACATAAGAAGGAAAATAATAACACTAATACAAATACAAATAATAGTGACAACATGAGGAGAAAGGAAATCAACACCTCTATTGTGATACCATACAAGGAAGGAACATCAGAAACCATACGTAGGATTGATTCTCAACAAGGTTGGAATTAGGGTGGCATTTAAACCAACAAACTCACTTACAGGTAAGCTTTGTCGCCTGGCTTAAGGATCCGATAGAACCAATTAAGCAAAATACTATCATCTACCAAATTCCATGTGATGACTGTGAGGTCAAATACATAGGTCAAACTAGCCGGTCGGTGTCAGTTAGA